TGCAAAGTTTTCTCCTCTGGTTAACATGAAGGGAATCCGAAGCTTCCTTGGGCATGCCGGTTTTTACCGGCATTTATCAAAGACTTCTCAAAGGTAGCTAGGCCTTTGAGTAATTTGCTCGCCAAGGACCAGGTATTTCTCTTAACTGAAGATTGTTTACATGCTTTTAAAATTTTTAAGGAAAAAATTGTTACCGCCCCAATTATAGTCGCTCCGAATTGGAATTTGAATTTTGAACTAATGTGTGACGCGAGCGACTATGCTATTGGAGCGGTATTGGGACAAAGGAAAGAAATTTTTCACCCGCTCTTCAACAGACGACATGCTCGCTGCAAAAAACAAAAAAGAGTCAGCAACATACAAAACATACAATCGTGAGAAAGAAGAAGCGTTCATACCTAAGTACTCCAGAGCGTCCGCCCCCGTGGCGCAACTGAGCAAGGTCTTCATGTTAATCAGCCTCTTCTTCGTCCGCACGTTCCCCTGCACGTCGAAGATATACCGACCATCATGCGTCACCAGTTTTGACGGGGACAGACCCCGTACAAACGCCATTATTTTTATATATGAGGCCATGTCCCTCTCGTCGAGGGTCCCGACCCACACTATATACCGGTCGGTTCCGCGATTGAAGTGCTACGAGGTCCACAACAAATGCACCTTCGGGTGCCACGCGACGAACCGCTGGCCGTCCACCACTCGCTCCCCCTCAGTAAAAAGAGAATCCGACCCTTCTCGGGTGATCAGCCGCACGAGGAAGAACTGACCCTTGAAATCCCGGACAGACTCGTTGTACGTCTTAAAAAGCGTGGTCGGCTGCTTAAACGAGACCCAACCCTGGCGACCGTTCACCGATTGACGCTGCAGGTGGAAGATGCGGAAAAATAAGGGCATCGTGGCCTCGACCTGGAGAAAGCAGCAAACCAGCTCGAACGCACGGATAAAGGCCAGGGCGTTGGGATGCAGCTGGGACGGGGCCAAACGTAACCAGTCGAAAAGACCTAAATGGAAAGCAGAGATCGACAATCTAAGCCGAGCCTCTTTGAAATAGAACTCGTGCATAGGAAACATCCACCGACCATAGCTCGAATAGATACGATGATGCTCCTTAGGACGGTACACCTGTCAGTGTTGCGGCTCCCCCTCCACCCGATCCTCTTCAGTAGTATGGGCGCCAGACGTATCAAAGGCGAAACAAGACGGGGTAGACAGGGGCTCTTCGGCCACCCACTCCTCGACGGGGAGAACCCTCTCGTCAAAATCTAGGACTTCGGGCTCGTTGTCTTCGACCATCGTCCCCGGTATCAAGGCCGACATGAACACCTGAAAAGTAGAGGATAATGGTGAATTTGATAGCCAAGATCAAATCCACCCTTTCGCCGCAGGTCAAGTGAAAGGGCGACGATGGCGGGCCCGCGAACAAAAGACGAATGCCCGGGCAGGCCCCGAGGGGCACTCCTCGCCACTTTCCCTCGGGGCATTCAAAGCTAACCTATCTCCCCTCCCCGGGGGCTTCATCAGAGGAAGCGCCCCATCCCTGGGGCATTCATCGGAACATTCGGTCCTCCCCGGGGCATTCATCCAAACAACCTTAAAAATCCACCAGATACGGCGAAAACTCGCATCTCTCCTCGGGGCATTCATCGTGTCCCGACCACAAACCCAAATTAAACGGCGAAAATAAAAGAAGAGAAGAAGAAAATTCACTTTATAAACGGCGAGGGAAGAGATGCAAAACTAACGGCGCGGCAGCGATTCACAGCAGCGGCGGACGGGGAAGAATTACAGAGCTTCGCAGGTGAGAAAGCAAGGTGAAAAGTAAAAAGGGCACGGGGACCTCCATATTTATAACCCGGCGCAGAACTCGAAGCGACATTAGGCCTTTAAGTGCCCTAGGGTAGCCACCCTCACGCCCACTCGGCGCGTGGCGGTAAGCTGACAGTCGCGTCCTTTCAAATGCCTCCGCCCCGCGCACCCGGCGACATGAAGAGACCCTCGCACCCCGCCGAACACCAGCCTGCGGGCCTCGCACCTCGCTATCTCCTTCCCCGAAGCAACGATCTCAAGTCCTCGCTCTCCCACCGAAGAGCTTCGACTTGGGGGGCTCCTATTCTGGCCTGGGCCCGGTCTCACCTCGCGGTCCAGCCCAATGATGCGCAGCCAAGGCCCAGTATGATTTAATTAGGCTGTCCGGGCACGCGACCCCCTCGACGGGCAGGATATGCTCCCGCCGAGCAGAACGACGTGTCTCAAGGCGCCCTCGACACTCTCCCCTCGTCGGGCAGAATCCCCATGCCACGAGCAGGACAACGCGTCCTCCCCACATCCTTGCGTGTTCCCCTCCGCGGGGAGAACAACACACCTCCGGGGAACCTCCCGAGCTCCCCTCCGCGGGGAGAACAACGTGCCATGCACACGTTCTCCACGTGCTCCCCTCCACGGGGACACGTCACCAACCAACTACCCACCTCCGAAAGAGCAGGTCAAACCCACTTTCCGGAGATCAATGGACAATTGGACTAGGGCGAAGACCACGTCCTGGTCTTTACTACGCCACGTAAGCCCTAGCAGTCACCTGGGTTGGGCCTTATAATTCAGCCCAACGCAAGTGACCGTTGGCCCAGCGCTGGGGTCTCTCTATAAATACCCTCTTCCACAAGAGGGCCAAGTAACTCACTTCTTACCCCTTTTCTGTACTTTGCTTTCACTCTGCCCAATTCCTTACTTTGGCATCAGAGTGTCTTGCAGGTACACCCCCCCTTCTCCTCCTCAACATCAGTGAACAGGTAGTTGTCCAACAGAGTGTGGCCAGCCCGTGATCCCCTCCTGATCCGGTCAGATCACGAATAAATTGATTAAACCGAATTCGATCAAGCCGATTAAAAGTTCATTCGAAATTGGGCCTACCAAATCCACTCATGGTTTTGGTCAGTTTGACATATTGGGTTCGAGTCCGATCCAGACTGACCGATGTTGAACCCTATGTAACATATTGACAATTGAAAAAGTAGTGGCGGATCATCATTAATGCGTACATGTATATGTTAGGAGCTACCTGAAACAGTGAGACATTCATCAAAATACTGCATACAAAAACGATGTTGCGGTGGTGTTATTGAAGCATCGCAGCTTTTGTATACAGGAACTAAATTAGGGTTAATTCTAAATTGTCAATAATGTCCCTAATATTTATTTAAAGCTCAAATTAAATAATATTAATTAAAACTAAATAGAATTTAAACCATTAAAATAATTAGAAAAAATAAAAAACTAATAATTCTATTTATTTTTTTCTAAATACTTTGAAAAAAATAAAAAATAAACTGACTCCATATAAATAAAATTCGAAAGCCCAATTGTTTGAAAAAATAAATCGAGTACACAAAAATGATCAGCGAGAAATAAACGACTCGAAAAAATACAACGTTTGGTCGATTTTAAAATAAATTTTGATATGCTAAAATGCTAAAATTGATCAAAATGCAATCGAAAATAGTCGAAACAATAAAATGAGAACTCTACGTTAAACTACGTGAACCGTAGATTAATATAATTGAAGTCTGGACGCTCGATTTTGAATTTTCCGTCTATTAATTTTATGCACAGTTAAGATTCATTTTGACCCGTCTGTTTGTAAATTTCAAAAATTATTTCGGGTGACATTTATGTACTCTGTTAGATGAAATGCATGTTATACTATATAAAGTAAAAATAAAATCAAATACATAAAAAAAAAAATTAAAATACTCGAACAAAATCTGATGGAATATAAACCATATAATTTTCAATGATGGAATTGGCATAGTTCAAAGAATAATTTATACTTTTTAGCAGTGGTAAGTTCTTTGTTCTAATTATATAATTAAGTGTAGTTATCATAAATGGTTTAAATATATTTTTTTTTTAATTTTTTTTAAGACTCTATTACGTAGGATTAATTGTCAGTGGGCGTAATTGGTTTGTATATATTTTGACAGTTAATTTAGAATATTTTTAGTATTTCCTTTAAATATAGTGCTTGTGCTTATCTTAAGAAAAGTATTTAAATAATATTCTTTATTTGTAATTTATTATTTTTAATCTTTTTGACTAGATAGAATTTTTAAATTTAATTAATTGTACTGTATAATTAATTTAATTCATTCATAATTGTTTAATTTTTTATAAGTGTTTTACTTAGACTTTTTTGACTAAAAAATAATTAAAGTAAAATATCATAAAAACATATTTCAATCGTTAATAAAAAATAATTTACACCAAATTTTAATCGTTATTAAAAAATATATACCATGTATTTTTTTGTTTATTTCTTGTATTTTATTTAATATAATTGTTTAATTTAGTCCTATTTAACAATTGAGATTTATTGTTAGTTTTTTAAACTTACATTTTCAACTGATTCTTTATATATATATATATATATATATATATATATATATATATATATATATATATATATATATATATATATATATATATATATATATATATATATATATATATATATATATATATATATATATATATATATATATATATATATATATATATATATATATATATATATATATATATATATATATATATATATATATATATATATATATATATATATATATATATATATATATATATATATATATATATATATAATTCTCAATAAAAATATACAATTATTATATTTTTAGTAAAAAATAATAAAAAGCACAACTAAAAAATTATATTAAGTAATATTCTTTATTTGTAATTTACTGTTTTTAATTTTTTTGACCAAGCATAAATTTTAAAATTAATTTATTGTAAAGTATAATTAGTGTAATTTATTCATAATTGTTTAATCTTTTAAAAGTATTTTATGTAAACCTTTTTGACTAAAAAATAATTAAAGTAAAATACCATAATTTTAAATTAATAAAAAAGTTGTATATATTACAAATTATATACTAAAAAGATTTCATAAAAACAAAAACATTTCCAGAGTCCTTACGGAGTATACAATCATGTGTCCATCTCCGCTGTTTATTTCTGAAGATCTCATTGCTGAGGTCTTATCTGTTCTTAACGTGAAATCTATTCTTCGATTCAGATGTGTTAACAAGCACTGGGATACTCTCATTTCCGATCCAACTTTTGTGAAGTTGCATCTCAAGCAATCAGCAAAACGAAATCCTCATGTCATTCTAAAGAGCGATCATACCAAATCAATCCCAGGTGAGTCACCCTATGGCAGTGATGATGAGAGTGAGTGTGCCAGAGGTATCATTCCCCATTCCATAAGCAGTTTAATTGAGAATCCTTCGTTCACTGTTTATGTCGACTCTTTCTACATTGTGGAAGACAAAGGATGCTCTAGTATGGTTGGTTCTTGTAATGGATTGATCTGTTTGGCTGGTTTTACAACCACAAGGGAGTATTTAGAGGATTGGTTCCGGTTATGGAACCCAGCCACCAGGACAACATCTCCAAAATTTGGATTCTTACGTTTATTTTACAATCGTCCTGACTTCACTTCCTCCTATGCTAATGATGGCTATTATAAATTCACCTTTGGTTGTGATGATTCTACGGGCACTTATAAGGTGGTGGCATCGCGTCACAATGATCGTGAGTTGAGAAGCAATGTGAGAATTTTAAGTTTTGGTGATAGTGTTTGGAGGGAAATTGAAAGTTTCCCTGTTGATCCTTTGTGTTTGCGCTCATGTTGTGATAATGGTGTGTCTTTCAAAAGCACTCTTAACTGGTTGGCTGTTCATAATACAATTTTCTATATTGGTGATGATTATAAGGATATTACTATTGATCAATTTTCTATTGTTTCGCTTGATTTGAGGTCAGAGACATACAATCAGTACTTAGTGCCTCATGAATTTGATGAAGTTCCACCTAATGCTCCAATTATTGGTGTGCTGGGAGACTGTCTTTTTTTTTCTTCTCGTTATAAGGAAACCGATATTATTATATGGCAGATGAAGAAATTTGGGGTTCAAGATTCTTGGACTCAATTTCTTAAAATTAGTTGTCACTCTCTTCAAATTGATTATGATTATAGTGAATATATGAAGTATCATTTTAAATTGGTTCCATTATTTCTTTCTAAGGATGGTGATACACTGATACTGTATTGCATTCTAGAACATCCGACAATTCTCTATAATTGGAGAAATAATAGTGTAGTGCGAACAAATATTACTGCAAGAAAAATAATTACTGATGATGAAACTTCAAATTGTATCTCATGCTCAGCCAATGGCTATTTTGAAAGCTTAGTTTCAGTTTTTGGAGTGTAAGTTCATCTTCCATGATTTACATGTGGTATTTTTAGTTGTATATGTTGTTTTAGAAATTATAGATTGTGTGAATGTTCTTTTTTCGGTTGTTTAGAATGATTGTATTTTTTTGAATGACTGTCTTATAGATATCAACAAATTATATTAATATATCTAAATATTATAAGTTAAAGAGTATTTAAAAACAGTATTAACTGGTGACTCTTTCAATTTCACCCACAGGTGATTCTTCAAAATTTGGACATTTACATATTTTTAACCGTGAAACTTCTGGCTTCTCATTTGGTTGGGATAATTCAACCAACACTTACAAAGTAGTGGCGTTCGATAACAGTCCTGATCAATTAACAAGTGAGGTGAAAATTCCCAGTTTAGGTAATTCCTCTTCGTCTGGGTTATAGGGAAAATAATGTCTATTTCAGTGCACTCTTAATTGGTTGGTTATTCATAATGTCCACTTGTATAATTTTAATGGTATTACAGTCGAACACTTTGTTATTGTTATACTAGATTTTAGGACTAAAACTTACAGCCAGTACGGGTTGCCTAGTGGTGGTTTCAATGAAGTTCCACCGAAAGATGCAACTATTAGTGTGTTGGGAGGACGTCTCTGTTTTTCTTACTCTTATTGAGAAACCTATTTTGTTATAGGGAAAATGAAGAAAATTGGACTTGAAGAAATTTGGACTCAATTTCTTAAAATTACTTATCAAAATTTTCTTATAAATTACGATTTTAGTGAGAACATAAATTATTGTAAATAGAAGTCCTACTCATAATTAAAGCTGTTTATGTTATAGTTTTGTCAAAAAACTTGACTCAAACTAAACCAAATTATTATATTAGATCATTCAACAAAAACAAACTGTTTTAATTTTTTTAAAACTGACCTGAACCAAAACTTTTGGTTTGACATAACGGTTCTGAATCATACTAATCAGTAGAAGAATTTCTTTTACAACCTGTTATACGTATTATTATTTTTTTTATTAAATTTATTCTTAGTATTTTTTAAACTTCTTTTCATATAATGTTTTAAATAATTTTTTACTTAATAAAAAATCAATGAGAAAATGAATCGATACGTTGTCAATTAAACAATACAAACAATGATCGTTTCGTATCAACCGATTTTGAAGGAATTATATAAAGTAACAATCAACTTGACAAATTCACAAATAATTTGTGTGTGATCAATGCGTCGAACACTTGGTGTGTAAAACACCCCAAGTTGAATTTCCAATGAAATGATAGTGCATAATTTTTCACTATTACAATCCAAGTGTTTGTAATGAATTATCAAAACAGAATTTCAGCACTACACAACATTGGAAATTTATCGAACAATTGATATCAAACAAATGTAACCAACATAAAATAAAGAGATAGAGTAAAACAGAATGACATTGAATTTGTTTAGGCAGTTCCCATTTTCGTCCTCGCTTCGGGTACGTCTACCTCCAATTCTAAAATTAGAATAAAGATATTTATTATCACGTTACAAATTTTATACAAGAGAAGCAATATTCACCGTACATTAAAGCCTAATTTTTGAAGTTGATAATATTCCCTTCTCTCCCTTTGATTCAATTCGAATCAAGTGCATCAAACACTTCGAACAAACCTCCGGTTCCGCTACTTGTTTGAACTAATCCACCGTTTTTCAAACCTTTCGCTCGGCCGATTTCGATCGCAAGACATTCAACCCCAAATCTTTCGTCACAATCCTCTGGTTACCGCTACTTGTAACGCCCGTTTTATTATGATTAAATTCAATTATGACTTTGCTATGTCTCGTTGCGTCGTAGTCGTAGTTGAGTATGTGTTTGGATCGAAGGAAGGAATTGAATCGGTCGAATTGTCGAGAAAAAGTGTAAAATTTCGTAGCGGTTTTAGGAAACTTCGAAAAATCATATCTCTTGATCCGTAAGTCGGATTTGACCCCCGTTCGAAGCGTTGGAAAGCTAAAGAGATGTTCTATCTAGAAAAAAATTGAATTTTTCTGATATGACATTCGTCATGGACTTGCCACGACCGTCACGACCGTGACGCTCGTCATGGACTTGCCACGACCGTCATAGTAACGAAATTCAGTTAAATGCAAAATTTGGACGTGGCTGAGAGTGGGTAGCAAAAATACATTCTCGTAGACTCTTTTACCCTCAATTACATCATTTGAGGAAAGGAAAGACTGGAAAGAGAAGTTACGCATTGAGGAAAGTTGAGAGCAAAGAATCAACCACCGGCGAATTTGGAGGATTTCTGCAGAAAAGTCACCGTAGAGCGGAAGCGGAACCGGAGAGCGTGGAATTGACCTCAATTCTAAGGTAAGAGTGGGGTTCAATTCTATAACTGTGGGTATGATCGAATTTATGTGGGGAATCGAGTCATAGGTATAGTTTTCGTTAATCGATAAATGTTAAGGAAAAGGTTTCCCTAATGGGACAAGATTTCTATGTAGGAATAAATGTGTTATGTAGTTATTAGGGCGATGCTCTAAGGTTTTCCTTATGGGCAAATACGTAGAACGAATATGCTATACGGTTATTCGTACAACGCTCTAATGGTTTTCCCTAATGAGCCAAAAAGGACAGTTACCTGGTTGTGATTGATTTGTAATTAATTATGTAAGAAAATGCCGTAATATTGTTATTACGAATATATGCTGAATCCTTAATTGTTGAACTGATGTTGATGTTATACCTGTATAGGAATAGCCGTTTTGTATGAACACTTTGAGTTCCTATTTGTGGTAATGTACGATGTGGTAATGTTCCTTTACATGAACAGTCGTAAATGTTGAACTTATGTTGCTATTGTTCCCGTATGTGAACGGGTAGAAAGTGATGGTTGTATGAGTGGTATGATGTTATGATGCTCTGTTATGGACATTCTGGTTGTAGGCGTAATGCCTTGTTATATGGTTGCTATGGTTGTGTTGTAGTCCATAATAGATGCATTTCATGGCATATCATTTGGCCTGGATTGGCGACGGTTGTGCTTGTATTGGCGTTATTTGGAGTGTTGGCTCCTAGATGGGTTCGGGGTGTTGGCCCTGTCCCGAGTTTTGGAGTGTTGGCTCCTAGATGGGTTTGGGGGTGTTGGCTCCTATCCCGAGTTTTGGAGTGTTGGCTCCTAAATGGTACCACATGCATGTGCACAGTTGAGTCGCATTGTTGAGTCGCATGAAGTCGCATAATTACGCTAGTTGTATGTTAATGTTGTTTATGTAAGATATGGATTACTCGCAGTTGTTGTCGATGATGTTTATGATTTCGAAACCTATAATGCTGTGATGAGTTTCCGGCATGTTTCCTATCATGCTTTATGTTATATTATAGATATCTCACCCTTTTCCGTTGTATGTTACCTCCTCTGGTGGTAATTTGCAGGTAGTCAGGAATATAGCGTAGTTCCCGTTAAGGTGTCGTTGGTCGCTCTGATACGTAGCACTCTTGGGGGATGGACGATTGCTGTTATTATTTTAGTCGATGTTATTGTTGATTGAACTTGTTACGATGTTTTTATTAAATTTTTTTAAGAGAACATGTTGTATACTTTATCGAACATCCACCGGAAGTAATGACGAGTTGTTTTATGATTAAATGGTTAAGTAATACATTGGTGATTGTTCATACAATTTCGTGCTACGTATGATATTCTAAAGTTGTTTCATAATGATTGTTGTCTGTCAGGTTGAAGTGTAACATCTCTGATATGAGGAATTTTGTCCGTGTGACGATCGTCACAGGCGCATGACAACCGTCATGCAGTCAATGTTTGCGCTGCTGCGCTTTGTTTGCTATATGAATTATTGTTTTTCCTGTTATCCGCAAGTTTAGATTTGGGGTGTTACATTAGTGGTATCAGAGCAGGTCTGTCCGTCCGGCCAAGTTGTCTAGTGTCGTCGAGTCAGTCGTCGTGCCTAACACTAGAGTCTCGTTATTTATGAAATCTGACTGTTGGTTGTTGCAGCTTAAGTGAAATGGCTGGGAGGAATGATGCTGCAATTGTTGCTGCTCTGCAAGCTTTAGCTAATGCTATGGAACATCAGCCGAATCCTGCTGGAGATGCTGGGTCTCGCAGTTTGGCAACATTTCAACGGGAGAATCCGCCTACCTTCAAGGGTAAGCATGATCCTGATGGTGCATTGGAGTGGTTAAAGGAAATGGAGCGAATCTTTCGTGTGATGGATTGTACTCCAGCACAGAAGGTCCGTTATGGGACTCATATGCTGGCAGTAGAAGCTGATGACTGGTGGCTAGAGACCCGTCTAGTGTTGGAAGCTGCAGGTGAAGAAGTTACTTGGACTGTATTCCTTAGGGAATTTCTGAAGAAGTATTACCCGGAAGATGTCCATGGTAAGAAAGAGATTGAATTTCTTGAACTGAAGCAAGGAGACAGATCTGTTACTGAGTATGCAGCGAAGTTCAAGGATTTGGCTAAGTTTTACCCGCACTACAGCGCAGAGACTGCTGAATTCTCTAAATGTATCAAGTTTGAGAATGAATTGAAGTCTGAAATCAAGAAAGCAATCGGGTATAAGAAGATCTGTGTCTTTGATTCATTGGTTGAAAGCTGTAGGATTTATGAAGAGGATAGCAATGCTCATTACAAGTTGGTGAGTGAGAGGAGAGGCAAATCACAGCAGAGTCGTGGTAAGCCTTATGATCCTCCAGCTGGCAAAGGGAAACAGAAAGTAGCTGACGGCCGGAAAGCTAGTAGGGGATATGCTCATGCTGGTATTGTTTGGTATAAGTGCGGAAAGCCAGGTCACAAGAGTAATGTATGTAATTCTGGATCATTGAAATGTTACCGTTGCGGAGAGTTGGGACACGCTGTTGCTGAGTGCAAACGCAAAGGAATGGTTTGTTTCAACTACGGTGAAGAGGGACACCTGCGAGACAAGTGTCAGAAGCCTAAGAAGGAACAGAATGGCGGAAGAGTGTTCGCGCTATCTGGGACTCAGACATCCAGTGATGACAAATTGATTGAATGTA